CTAGCCACTCTACCACTATAATGTATATGTTAATCAATTTGGAAATACGTACACTCATACAAATATCACTATTGTCTTGGATGACAAATGTATTCTGACCGTCCAGTCAGCCGATCAGAGAATTAATGCCCTTTGTCTAAAAGAACATTCTTTAATTTTTAATCTATATATCATGTTTTCTCGAATATTTCAGACTGTTCAACGGTTTGACAATTACACAGTTAATTTCAGCAAAAGTTCCATTTCAAACATTGTTATTCCAGGGGCGTGCGCGATAAGTATCGGAGTTAAGCAACAGGTATCACGTCTTATATTTGTCTATTTTCTAGATCCTCTCTATTAACTCTGTCTGTACGTGATCTTTGCACTAAACAAAGTCACACGTGACACCGGAGGTAAATAAGCCAGACCAAAAAAGAAAGGAAAAAAAATTGTATCGACACCTTTTCCTGACAACAAGAGTCATTGAACATGGACTTTACCTGAAAACTAACCCTGCGTATCCTCTACCAGGGCTAAAAATTGATTTTTCACCAGATATATTCACAGATATGTCAATGGTTAAGTCATGGCACATTTCTCGCGCTGGAAAAAAGTGCACAGAATTAATCTGCGGCCCTGGTGTAGAGGCTATACCCTTCGCTACCCCCTTCCCTTTAATGCGCGAAGAGGGCGTCCCTGAGTGGCCGTGGCCGGGTGTTAACACTGTGACAGGTGACAGGTAGATGTGACAAAGAAGCCATCCTGATGCGACAGGTGGGATACAAGGTGTGTGTCTTACCTGAGCCATCTTTATCTTAATTACACATCTGCTCTACATACGCCCAAAGAAGACCGCATCAGCTTGGTAAAGATATTCCTTAATCGGTTATAGTGCTGTGAGAGAGAGAGAGAGAGGGAAAGACTTTAAAGAGAGGGAAAGACTTTCACAAAAACATAACGCTTATAATTGTTGTGCATACGCCTAATTTTCTTTCCCCAAATCTAGGAAACGCACCATATCGCACATAACAGGATTTCTGCCAAATGGTCTCTAACTGAATCATTGACTGGTTGTTGAATTTGATTGTGCTTGACGACATTAAAGCGCTTCATCGTTTGTCAAAGTTAACATTATGAGTATTGAAACAGATATACAAAAAGTTCATGGTACACGAAAGGCCAAATTAAACAATTTATTTCTTCCTATGTAACCCAGTCGGCTTAATTTAAGAGGACGGGTGCACCCGACACCGGGCGCTCCTCTAGCTCCTCTGGCAGCCTTAAAAAGTGACGGGTACTCAGGTCGGGCAATGTCACTTTTATTTTTGTAACCGGACTTTTATCTGTATTTACAGTATATGTATCTTCCCAAACGTTGAAAAAAATACTGTATATACATCAAAATGCAAGCTCAAAGATGTTTGGCTTTTTGCCAGTATAAATAATAACATCTGCTTCGCTTCAAGCGGCTCTTCAAAAATTTACTTGAAAAAGAAACACATAAAAAACTTACCTTTCTTCTTCCTTTTTTGAGTGCTTTATGGCAAAGCAAGTGCGTAAAATCCCTTGAATCCCAGTCAAATGTTACATCACAATTGAGCAAGCAGGAAGCCCAGTGGCCAGATAGACGGGAGTTTGGAATTTCAACGTTTCTATAATCATTTACGTCAAACTTAAATTTAGTAACAACCCCTGCGTTCGGCCGGGTGTCGTGGCGTGCGTAGTAAGTTCTCTGTCTTTTTATATCGCGGACGCAGATTGGAACAGCTCGCTTCTCACCCAGGGCGTCGTTATGTTGGGTCAGGAAGACGTGTTGCTATGCAGGGGAAGGCAGTGTGCGGTTAGAGATGTTGACGTGGGAAGACAGTGAGGCACTGCCCCGGGCTTATCGCGTCACCCCCGGCGACCGCACTGTGTGCACATACGAACATTCTTCAGTTTACGGATAAATTTGACGGGATAGTTCCTTGTGAGTTACTATTGTTAAAAGATACGCTGAAGATGGAAAGTTATTTCTAGTTATTTGTAGCCACAATTATTTAGAAACATTGGCACTGCCACCCATTAGCGGCTTGTCTGAGTTGATATTTGTCATGTAATACCTGCATTTAGTGCGCCTGGTGATAAAGAAGTGCTGTATTTTAGTGTGATGGACTGTTTGCGTTTCCGTTACAAGTGCTCCCACCTGTAATCTATCGTAATTAATTGCCACTGGAGTGCACGATCACTTTTCCCTTAATTGATAGGGAACATTTTCCATCTATCCTCCTTTTGAAAACAAGATGCTTGTATGCTACAGTAAAGAACGTTGTTCCTATGGCATCAACTTGATGCTTGATGCTTAACTGCAAAAATCACGTTTTTATTAGGTGCAGTTTGTGGCACACTTTCTATTTGATTGATTTACTTTCAGGCAGCGTCGCATCACAACCTTCCCCTCCCCCTCGCACACGCACACCTCACACATACACACGCGCACGCACGCACACACACACACACACACACACACACATGAACTACTGTCTGCTAATATCAATTTTTCTATTGGGTTAGATGTTCATTTCTCATCACATCTCTTGCCCCCATCTCAGTAGGTGACCCCGAGGCTTTCAGGTGACAGAGTGCAGCCGCATCAGGGATGAAATATTAGCGGTGAAAGTCACTAAGGGGCGCAATTGTCTTAATATCAATTTGTTTCTGTTGACTGAAGTGTGTTAAAAGATTAATTCTTCACACGATGGCTGCACGCAGTAACGCCGCTGGCTCTATGTGTGGTAGACACTGTAGAGTGGCGGGAAAGAGCTACTGGGTATGATAGTATGTTAGGTCTCTTGTCTGGGTCAAAGGGTGGGATCTTTTTTCTCTCTCCCTCCATCTCTTTCTCTTCTTCTTCTCTCTCTCTCCCTCTTTCTCTGTCTCTGTCTCTCTTTCTCTCTCTGTCAAATGCCACCTCTTTATACAGTCGTGCCAAACGTTTATTTAAGAAGAAAAACTGATTTCACGAACCTCTATGATTTGGATTTCTAGTACGTCAAGTATTTAATGAATAGTACCCCACACCCTTCAGTCTTTGTCCTTTCACTAATTTTCTTGACCTTTGTTCAAGAAAAAAATACAAAACTCACTATCTCAAGTGTCACTGTGATTTACGTTTTCCGTAACTTATGTGACCGTATTTAACTTGAAGTGAGCGTTACATTGTTTCGCGTTGTGCCGGTATTTATTTGTTGCCTTCGTCTTGTTAATAACGTCTGGATGTCGTGAACTCGAGGCATGTCACTCCTAGTTTGACCCCACCGGGTCGTGTCAACGTGTCAGGGCAGTGACACTTCTCTGTTGACAGTTACAGTCTACATGGCGTGTGTTGCAATTGGAGGAGTTCTATTTCAATTTTGAAACTATTAATTTTTGTTTTCGCAGCAGATTTTTTTCTAACACAATATTTTTCCAAAGGGTACAAGTGTACTTTAACTTTGGGAGGTGGCTTATTAGTTGAATTCTACCTCTTCTACCCCACACCCCGTTCTCCTCGGACAAAATTGTTTTGTTTTTGTTTTTGTTTTTTTAAGTATTCTTACTACATTTTAATCACAATACGCTACAAATACCATTAATCAACCCTGTGTGTGGCACCGACAACTTAAAACCCTCTCTGCGGCTTGGCCAGACCACAACTTTAAAATAAGACAAATCGCGTGGCGGGGAACAATATCTGCAAATTTCATTATTGCCCTGTTGTGAGCAAAATTGATAAAAACAACCGACTGATTACGGGATATCAAAATACGGACAGGAATTCCACTTTGAATGACACTTATATCGAGGTGAATTAAAGAAGACAGTTATAACTTTGACCCACGCATGCTAGCGTCGAGAAATTGGTTAGAAGAGGGAGGAAAAATTTGCACACAAACTTCCCCTTCCTTAACTCCCTCTCTCTCTCTCTCTCTCTCTCTCTCTCTCTCTCTCTCTCATACGCATTTTCTTTCTTTAGTGAGCCAAGGAGTGCGACAACGCTTCTCCATTATGTTATATTTGGAATCATTTTAACGCAAAGTCATCTGTGTAATGAAATATTCCTACACGTCTGTCCTTCATTATTTCCGCGAGGCCACTTCTCCATTGCTTTAATTCCTGTTTTATCTGCTTCATATCCCTCATATATGACTACGTTTCGGTACATGTAGAACGCTGGCGAGGACGAGGAGAGGGTTGGTGGCTGTTCGTGGGTGAAAATAACTCACAGGAGCCCCGCTACCTAGAGACGCTGGACTTCAGTGAGTGTATCTGAACGATGGATTATCTAAGATTTTCTGATATCAGTAGCGTTCTTTGTGTCACTCGATGACTATGTTTGCCGTCTGGGTGTAAAAAAGGCAAAGGAAGTTTTAATTAAATGGAAACCGTATGTAAATGTGCCCGCAAGCTTTTCAGCTATTTGAGCTATATATTAACATAATGGACATTTTTCCATCATTACCTCATCATTAGCTTTTGGTTCTTTTTATTTTTTCCGAAAATTAAAATGCTGCATTCTTGTCTCTCTAATATGTTGTTGATTTTTAAATATTAGCTGTCAGGCAAATAACATTGATATTGCTCAAAATCAACATGCGGAAAATTAGATAAACGTTAAACCATGAGATTTGATGGTTATGAAATATTAAGAGCTTGGATCTTGTTTTTCATAAGTTCATGCACCTAGTCTGCACCGTAACCACATAACGACGATGATGATGAGCAGAGAGAATTGAGTTTATTAACTGTGGTGATTGTGCACTGAATACAGGGAACAACAGAAGCACGGCTTTCAAGCACAACTACCGCACTTTGGTGTGACTCTGGTTGATCAGGAACATAAAAAAACAATTTAGTTTAGTCTATATGAGAAAAGTGACATGCGATAAAGCATGCAAAAAGCTCAGAAAGCTAATTTACTGCATAAATGACTTATCTTTGAAATCTCAATTACTTTTTTCAATATGTTAAACTCATTAATCTTAATATCTTTTCAAACTGATAAGGCCAATATTTCCCAGTTCAATGATCGCCAGCACTGCCAACAAACCGGTCGCTATTGTTGACGTCATAGTAGGCCACTGCTGCGCATATTGCAATGCGCCGCTCACCTAACAACGACGTCGCAGTAACAACACCGTGACCCGGGCCCTCTCCTCGCTACGCTGCTTATTGGGCCAGAAAATCGTATCAATCAAACTCCTTTCATCGAGACGAAAGGTAAATCCAACCTCAACAACGCAATCCAAGGCACAAACTATAGGCAGTCCTAGCGTGTAAACAGTTAGTACACGGGAGGCAAGGTTCGTAGACTTTAGCCACAGATTGAACAACATCGTCGCGGCTAGAGATACTCGGGGAACATGGGCGTAGGAGGACAACAAGAGTTACAGTTAATGGCTCCACACGTCCATTCGTTTAATCCGGACGCCAGAACCGTAACTTATGAACGCCTGGAGACCTTGAGGCTGAGGTCCCTTGGTCTGGAAAACAGGTAAGAGAAACAAACATGGCACTGGGCACGTTTTCTTCTGGGTCCCAAACTATGGCCATACCCCAAGTTAAGACGAGCTTGAGCCGGTTGTAACGGGCTGTTGTTCTTGTTCCTATGGCGTTTAGATATAAATTATCATGATTTAATATCTAAGCAAACACAAAGTATGTCGTAACACACGTATATCCCATCTCAGGGAGGGGGTTATCGGGTGTTCAGCCTGACGGACATCACACGTCTAACTTTAAAAATACACGGGTGATATCAAAATTATACATTAGAGATAAAGTGAATGGAAAATATAGAGGCAGATGTGAACTTGATTACTTACAGTTTTGTAATATAAACTACATTAGTTAAGACACTGTTCAATAGCACTTCTTTTCATAATTTTAGAAAAAGAAATGATAATCTAACCTATGGTTAATTTCATCACACTTCTACATCCAAAATGTTTTCGTGTTTAATCTATATTAGCTGTGCTCAAAGGCACCGTATGGCACCCGTGACCGCTATAATCAACTTCTCTGCCAATTTTATTGATCGAATTCCGTAATAACAAAAGAACTTTGATTGAGAACAGTGTTATATCATATAACTTCATGACCATAGAAACCAAAGCTGCTACGTCGATGTAACTTCATTTTCAATTTAAGAACAGTAGAAACTTTAAATACAACATCTCTTTTATTCGATGATAAAGACACAGCTTTCGATAAAATACCACAACTGCGAGTATTTTTTTTTATATTAAATTTTAAGTCATAGGCCTGCTATGCTTATTTCTATCAGAAAAAAAGATGTTAATTTTTTTTATAATGAACAAACGAGTTGGTAATTGGAGATAATTTAATGATTAGTGGTGAATTAAACAGGTATCTTTTCTGGAAAAGGTAATTTTTCTTCAATCAGAAGCTGAATATTGAAATGGTTTACCTCCAATATGTCGATGTCTGTGAGAGCATCTTCAGCAGGATAGGAGGCTTCCCAGGTGAATAGCCTCTTTTAAGGTGATGTTTGGCTGTTGATGGAAGAAAAATTACTTTATCTTTACAACATAAATACAGCTGATGAAATTAACTTTTCTATTTTCTTTAAGGTATTCGCGCTACAACATTTTCCGCCAACAGCCGAAGGAGCCTGATCCGCTAGCGAGAGCAAACATCTCTCTGCTAGGAAACAACTCCGAGACCTCCTCTCCCGCCCCTGAGTCCGTGTCCATGTACTCCTGGGCCGAACCAACCCCCACGGGAACGCGGGGCATCGGGCTTATCACCGCTGAGCCACCTTCGAGAGTGACGAAAGGAAACACTCTCGCTCCATTCGGGACACTCGCCAAACCAACATGTGGATATTTTTTCAGTAGAGAAACAGATAACAGGAAACTGAAGTTTGGCATTCCACCCAGCGATCTTGTGAAATGGAGATCTTTCAACAGATAAACAGTTTCGTTTCTCGGCAATTCTGTGAAGACAACGAGGATATCAGTGAGATGAACTGCACGAGCCAGTTACCACGTCCATCAGAACGCTCAACACAAAGACTCATTAATGTCATTGTAAAATATTCATTTAACTGTACAGACTATTTAAGCTTTAAAAGCAGCTGATCAAGAGACTGTGATGTCGCTATGACGTGTCTTTACTGCAGAATTATTCCATCAGTGATGTCATATATAACCTTTTTGTAAATGCAGTCTTGGGCTCAAAACTGTAGCGATCACAATATTTCGAGAAGAGGTTTCTCGAGTATTGTTAGAAGAGCTACGTATAACTCATGCAAACTTGTATATTGCTCACTCTATGTATTTCGTATTTTACAAGTGTGGCTGAGCATTGAATTAAGCTCAACATTTTCGTAGATCTCACCATATCAGATCTCTACACCAAACCAAATCAAACCAATTCACGTTGCTCAACGCTATTGCATACTTCACGTTTGCTCAATTTTTTCTTTTCTATCTAAACAGTTCACTTTTGAATTCTAGTTGCATTTTTATGTTTATATTTTAATTACAACTAGTACAGAAATAATAGATAGGTAGACTTCTTAGTTCCATGAAAGCTGCAATTTTTGTAAGTATCTTAGTCTGTTATTTTTGCAGTATACACGTAAAATAAAGATCATAGTTAAAACATATGGACTTAACCCCCCATTACATGTTTATAAACGCGTGGATCATGACTAGCCTGGGGTAACAACAAAGACCTAAAATCACGCACTGTGAATAGGTACAAAGGCCTGTGCATATAACAGGTTGGTCGATTTCCCGTAACAATAATGGCGAGGTCCTAGTAACGCGCAGGCGCATTTTGCTTCCGAACGATCTCATTTCAAAAAACCACTTAAAAGGTCAAATTTGCTATTTACACAAAATGATTTGTAAACTATTGGCTTCAATGCCTAAAGAATTTACCCAAGACGTGTATTTTTTTCGAGATTAATGGTTTTCTTTTATTTATTCCATTACACATCTTCCAGGCACCACACGGGGCCAGTGCCGAGCATACACATAACTTGAACAGTGTTTGTAATGAGCTTGTAATTATTATTTTAGAACAACAGGAACAGAAAATTTATCTAAAATTTGTACATTTAATGCAATGTCTTATAACAGGTAAATTCCTATTGTTTTTAAATTTCAACCTTGATTGAAAGTTTTTTTTTTTTTTTTTTTTTTTTTTTTGGAACTTGCTCTTTGATTTTAACGGGTGCCCCAGAATAAAATATAGCACCAAAATTTAATGAACATGGAATTAATTACCCAATCATAATAATCATAATAATAATAATAATAATAATAATAATAATAATAATAATAATAATAATACACCACTCACAGTTTAAACACTTGTTCCATTACGTACTGGTATTTCCATAAAAACAAACTTGAATAAATTAAGCCTAGCGCGCGCAGCTGACTGCTGACTTTCTCAGACAAAATACTACTTTCTTCTCAAATAAAACTGACATATTTGTAGACAATAATGCAGAAACAATTAAGTTCATTTGTAATAACTCATTAAACAGCTTGTAATGTTATAACGTTTCTACTAAAAGCGGTTCTGAACTTAATTAACAATACAGAATCCTGTAAACCATCCTTAAGAAAACCTTCTTTTCATAAAATAAATACATTCCAAATACCTTAATAACATATCTGGCATTCACAAAACGAACCTCAGAATTTAGTTGAATTACAACATGCAATAAAAAGCATTGACAACTATTGCAGTAGAGAAGACGGATGTACGTCAAGCGGAATCTCAACCACGATTAGTGCAAATGTTTAAGTCTGTTCTTCCGTACTGCAGCGGTACTTGACTAAACCCAGAATAGTGAGGCAGTTAATCACGGCAGAAACCAGGCGTGCTTGAATTTTTTTCATTCATATCAAATACAGGGCTAGCTAGCATAAGTACACGAATAATGATGCCTTTATAACGTTTCTTCTTACTATTGTCTTTATTTTTAAAAAAATCGAACTTATAAGCGAGTATTCTCAGTGTTCCACGGAGTCTGCTACAGAGAGTGAGGGAGAAACATTAATATTTTAAATTAATATTAATGACAGTTCAATTCCATGAATAATAGGCTCAAAATCCCACTTCAAACGCAGGTTATTTATACGTTATTTCCTTTGTTTTTTGACATCCTCTACTTTGCAATGTGCAAAAACTTATAATACTGCCCCACAAACAAAACTGAATTGGTAAATATTTATTGCATTTTAAAGACACTCTCCATGTAAAGAAATACATAGTCTTCCGAAAAGATAAGAGATCTTATAAATAACAAAAGTTAAAATAATGGTCATATCAGAAAAAAACGCAAGCCTCATTTATCATAAAAATGTCGTGTAAAACGCCAAGCCACCGACAATTTCTAAGTAATTTTGATTGAGTACTCTTGATCTTTTCCTGAAAACAGGAAATGATTTTCCATTCTAGGCACGTACACACGTCACGAATTGGTCGTCTTGCACACGCACTTACAATGTACAACGTGGCGATTTCTTACAGACTAAAGCGTTGACGTCAACATAGCGTGGCAACAACCAGCACCCCAGATCACATTAATGACGGTTTTCATTTCATCCGAGCAAATAGCATTATCACAAGCTTAGGACAATTATTCGTCCAAACACCTAGATGAAGATAATTACATACGTAATACCTGTACAATATAAAGATAAAATATCTCAAAGCGGACAATATAAAATATAACAATATCTTAATACTTAAACCAGCAACTCAGATGACAAAGGCGCGTGCAAACGTCGCATTAAATGTACAGGACGCTGCGGCTCACGTTGGGGACATCACTGGTGGACAGGTCACTAGGGAACCGAGTGACCACCTAAATGACCCCTCATTATGAAAGAACAGGTGCCATATCTGGATTAAAACGAAGGCTACGAATTCCCTTCTTGCACGCACTGGACGTTATTGGAAGTGCAGGAAACCCTCGCTAGAACAAAACTCAGGGTAGCTTTTTCCCTGCTCAGTTGAATTTTTTAAAAAAATTTTTGCAATCACCCTCGCCGCCGTGATAAAACACACTGGGGCATTCTCCTTGACAACGCTTAACCAATTTCAAAAAGCATTTCGATGGAGATTTCCCCCTCCTCAGCTAATCTGTCCCTAAGGTGTGAGTCAGCGCCTGAAACAACGTTGTTTCCAGAACTTTTGATCTATAGCTACATGTACCAGTATTGCAGCTCGTGGAAGCTATGCTCACATTTACTGTACTGTACACGTAGACAAACACAATCACACTTACTCCATAATAGATCTAAGATTTTCCACTATCACTTTTGCTACCCACAAATATCACTGTAGCAAGTGGTTTGAGCGGCAAATGATAAATAATTTTAAAGCACCTTTTATATGATATCTTAAATTACACGATATAAATACATTTCATGTACGACAACGACACTACACATTATTTAACTTAACAATGAATAATAAGGAATAATTTGTGCTATGCCCAGTATAAATTATATGACCACAGCTACTGTGGTGTACTGTGTATAATTATAAGCAGTATTTATCCTACACTGTGTATACTAACTGTGCTGCAAAAGCTATAATAACTGATGATGAAGTACTTGATAGAATGTTTACTTGGGGAATGACTAATCTAATATCCTCTGCATCATAACTGTGCGTACAATGAACAAAGAGCCCCCTGCGAAAATTTCTCATTTTACGGTTCTCAATATATTCTAGAACATCTTTTTTTAAAGTTTTTATGTTGTTCTGTAATCTATGTAACAGTTCGAGAACTGTTTTTGGGGAAGTCCTTCAGAATGTCCTAGAACAGATTAAGAACATTTTTCATTAAAAGAGAAAAAACATTATGTTCTAGAACAGATTGAGAACCATAATTAAGCGTTAAATGAGACAGAATTTCACAGGGGGTATTTTCAAACTTGTCGTTCTGGCGGACCCAGAGTTACAGAGATTACAGGGTTCAGGTAATGGGATCAACGGAGGTGTGGGGAGGGTGGGGCTCACGAACCAGGACCCAGTACCCCGTGTAACTCAGGGCGCACCAGTAGGACTACGGTTCATAATCATTATACTATAATGGAAATCATCCGAGATGATAATGAGGCTGTTGGCACTGTGATGTCATATAAAATGAAAATGTACAGGTTTTAGAATCTACCTGATGTGGGGTAACTTTTTCAGTAATAGGGATGAAACTATGTGTTTGGAATGCTGTGTAAGAATTCTTTAGAAAGTTACATGAAAAGATTGGAATACGTTCTGTTGTGCATAGACTGTTATTCAAAAGGAAACAACCAAAAAATATCCGTGGATAAATCATAAGCTGTTACTTGTAGATGCCCCACATTTCCTGAAATGCCATTATTTCTGGTCCCATCCTATTCCAAATCCTGTGAATTCTCACTTGACTGTGAAATAAGCTGGGCAACTCTGAGCTGTCTTGGATGATTTCCATTAATTCCATTTCATTGTAGGTGTCTTCAGAAACAAACGTCGACTTGGACTAGTTAAGTTCTAAACGACAAATAGACAAACTGATATATGACGTCTCTGTGATATGGTGTATCTGTGATATGGTGTCACTGTCTATGGTGTCTCTGCCCAGTGGTGCCTCCCCTGTGCATGACTCCATTCCCCTGGGTATACTTCACTCCCCTGGGTATACTAAACAAGGCAGAATCAATATGGGGGAGACTGGTCTCCTGCTGAACAGAGGATTCCTAACAAATGTGCATGTCTGGTGATGTCATTTGACCCAAACCAGTTGAAGTCTTGTGTTGGTGTCTCATGTCCTGCTAGCTGTCTAGACAATTCTACAGCAGAGAGTGAAGTCTAAGGTCCCCACTGTGGAGCTGACTAACTGAGGAAATTGGATTGATGTCTCGTGGGGGAGCTCTGCAAATAGAATGGGAAGACAGAATAGAAAAACTGAAGATCAATAAAAAGCAAAGCAGTGGGAATGCTATTCCTAATCCAGTCCACTGAATGAAGTGGGCTCAAGGCAAAATGAATTGGAATCAATGATACACTTCTGTATTCTACTCTAATTTCATATAAAAATCACCTAAGAAAACGTAAGAATTGCTACAAAATAAGAGCTATTAATAATATAGGAGGACAGTGTTGATAAAACAAGTTTCATACTCCTGTATTTAAGAAGGCAAGTGAAGTATGGGTACACTTGCTGCTAGATGAAAGAAATAACCAAAATCTTGAATCTGAGTAATTCACAAAACTGTTTGCAGCACAATATGTTTATTAAGATAAAAAAATATCTTGTTTCAAATGTCATAAACACGTGGGGGGGGGGGTGATAAAAAAAAATTGTCCCAAATTCATTTCTTTATTTGTATTTGACTCCATAGTACTTTGTAGGAATTCTACTGGACTCTAAAGAAATTCTAGACAACATCCTATAGGATTCCTATCTAGGATATATATCCAATAGGATTCCTATCTAGTATACATATAAATATATTTATATAAGACTGTATAGGAAATATCCCCAAGGAGTCCCCAGTAGCAAGCAGGTGACATCCAGGTGAGCAATTGATGGGAAGCTTTATGGCAATTATCTGTCTAAGACAACACCAAGAAAGAAATTAAAACTTCATAAGTCAGGAAATACACTGAACTAATAAACTACATGCATTGCATTCTTAATTCCATATCCAACCAGTCTCTTTACTTTGTATATATCAATAATAACAATGGGATGCCACTTTGGATCAGGCGTAATCCCTCGCCCATTGATTTTTGTGCCAATATTTATGCTGAAAATACAAAGCAAGTCAACATGAAGCAATATAATCATCATAAAGATGTGCTAATGAAAGCTTAAATGAGAGATCATGAATCTTTTTATCAGAACCTCCACTTTTCTGCTTTATTTGTGCTGGCGCTGAAGACTGCAAGTGCTATAAACACTGTAGCATTCAGGTGTCTAGAGTAAACACCTTGATAAAATGATACAGGTGTCTAGAGTTAACACTTTGATAAAATGATACAGGTGTCTAGAGTTAACACTTTGATAAAATGATACAGGTGTCTGGAGTTAACACTTTGATAAAATGATACAGCTAACAGGTGTCTGGAATTAACACCTTGATAAAATGATACAGGTGTCTACAGTTAACACTTTGATAAAATGACAGAGGTGTCTACAGTTAACACTGATAAAATGATAGAGGTGTCTACAGTTAACACTTTGATAAAATGATACAGGTGTCTAGAGTTAACACCTTGATAAAATGATACAGGTGTCTAGAGTTAACACATTGATAAAATGATACAGGTGTCTAGAGTTAACACTTTGATAAAATGATACAGGTGTCTGGAGTTAATAATTTGATAAAATGATACAGGTGTCTAGAGTTAACACTTTGATATGATACAGGTGTCTGGAGTTAACACTCTGATAAAATGATACAGGTGTATAGAGTTAACACTTTGATAAAATGATAGAGGTGTCTAGAGTTAACACTTTGATAAAATGATACAGGTGTCTAGAGTTAACACTTTGATAAAATGATACAGGCTCAGCGTGACCTTTGTGACTATTTTAATTTTCTTAAAAGAAAATAATAAATCCCCAAGTTCCTGGGGATAAAAAAATGTCCACCTTGAATACCAAGATTAGTGAAATAATCTAAATGATAATGTTTTCATAAGTCAATTTCTGCTGGATCCTCGCCTTTTGAAAACCCACTAGGCAACAGTAAATTTATAATAAAATAAACTAAAAAGGTTAGCTCTTATAAAATACTAAAAAGAAGAAGTTATTGCTGCACAGCTGAAATAATGTTACTTCTTTAAACAAATAAAATTTTGTTTGTCTGGCTACCCATGCCTCATAATGAAAAGAGCTTTTATTGGGGGTGAGGGGGGACAGGAGGGGACAGTATTCATCAGTGCTTTATAACCTGAAAACAACCTGGCAGCAAGCCAAAACATGTGAAACGACATTCAAGAGTCAGACTCTTAAATAGGAAAATCAATCACATCTACAAAACCACATTGCCCTCATTTGCATTCATTCTGGAACAACAGACACTGGCCCAGTCTATACCACAGACATTTTTATAGAGAAGAACAGGGTGTTAGTGCAACTTTGGTAGTCCTAGATGAACATTTTAAAATAAAAAAATTACTTTTACTTTCAAGCACATTAACCAGACATGAACCTAGGTTAAAAAAAACCCTCTGAACATTTATCACGGGACCCATCACCTTACCTTGACGAACCTCAGGAACATCAAAATTGCATAAAACAAACAAGGAATTCCGCTTTTCTGTGGAAAAAGCTCATGTCTGATTAACTCAGAGATGACTTTTTTCCTTTTTAACACACAGACTTATAGATGCCTTTAACTTTCTAGCACATTGACTCAGAGATGACTTTTTCTTTCTAGCACACCGACTCACTACAGCTAAGACACAAAGACCTAAATGAATTAGGCAAGGCAAAAATCTTCACTTATTTCAACTGATAAAACAAACGTGTAAGAAATGACAAGAGAAAGTGATACAGACAGGAAATGTACCAGTAAATGCAAGCATAAGGTGTAATCAATACTGACACCAGGACGGCTTTCTCAGGCTATAACATATGGCATAAATGAATTCTAAATTGGCAAGTAAAAAATAACAGAATTATTATCTAGGGTTCTTAGAAATCTGCATCCCTGAATGGACTTGTTGAGAAACAATAGCTTAATTTCACAAGTGTAAAACATTTAGTCAGCACAACATCTGCACATAACATATTATGTCTCCATAAAGATTTGAATGTGTATGAAAACCAAAATAACATTTGGAATCATTTCCTCTTAAAATCCTCTTAAAATGGAGGACTGTTAAGCGTACCCAGCGTGTCCCAGCATCAAAAAGGGAATTGAATAAAATATGTAAAAGTTATCAGGAATTGTAAGGAAAAAATGTAAGAAACATGCTGTAAAAGAAGCAAAGGCCAAGAAAACAGATATGTATAAAATATGTACTAAAAGTGGACTGTAAGGTAAAGGAGCAGGGTTACGTGTTTGTAAATAGCTAGCAACCACTTCACTAAAGTCTGCCAGGAAAAGGAAAAGAAAAAGGACAAGAAGCAAGGAACAGACCTGTTAAAACAGTAACTATGCGCGCAACTACCACCTTTGCCTGACCTCAGCCACGGAACACAGTGCAGATAGCATCAGTATGTACAATGTAATCTTCACAGTCAGCTAGCTACCATGTCAATTGTCAGATATATCATACATACATATCCTAATCTAAGTACAGATCAAAGCCAATTACTGCAAACATATGTTCATATTGATCTTCTCTGACTCTTACCCATCCCAAAGATGTTTTGAGACTGTCTTTTGTTTTTTAATTAAAATGGCAGTTCTAAAAATACACTAAGGTATATTCCTTCTATATTCCTTCTTTTTGTTTTTCTTGGTTAATTATTTTCTTTTCTTTCACATTTTCCCCCCCAAAGAAAAACTTTTTTATCATTAGGAGCTCTCTCTCTCTCTCTCTCTCTCTCTCTCTCTCTCTCTCGTGTCCTTAAGATTGTTCATCTATAAATCTATTCGTGTATTAATTTTTAAAAATCTATTTCACCCCAGCAAGAATCCACTAGGGAAGCTATCTAGCATTGTGATTAGTAAGTACCACAGTGTGATTGCATGAGAAAGATCACCAGGGTCTATTCCCTTCAGAGAATATACTAAACAATCTGTATTCTTCTCTTCTACAATGAATGAAGCATCATTTTACAATTTCTATCCACTTGAATAGATCTATACAGTCTGCAAGTGTCTTATTATTGGTGACTCATTCCACTGAGAGCTCCTGTTCACATTTCCTTGAATCTTCAGATGTGTGAGTCATCTTGTCCAGGCCAAAAAAATTTTTTTTCTTTTTCCAACAACTCCCATGTAAGTTAATAGCTGTGTGCAAATAGCATAAAATGTTTTTTTTTCTCACAAGCAAAAACTACATTTTTATTTTTGCCTTTGTAATATATTTTTCTACCTTCTTACTGTTATGAGCTCTCAAAGGAGGGTATTTACTTGATTAATGTCTTCAACATAAACAAATTATCTTATCAGCAGGTCACTACTGAGTACATAATGGTCAAGAAAATATGTGACATGAAATGTCATGTCAAGACAAGCTCCGAAAGAATTCCCCCATAAGGTTAAGGTCAGGGCCCTCTCATTTTTCTCAAGTTTTCCGTACTTGCATGATATTTGTTGTGAATAAATAATGTACGGCAAAATGTCTCTGAAAATATACATAATTAATTAACTACACCAATTTATGGTAAAAGCCCATGGGAGAAAAAATATGAATTTTGGCAAAATCATAAAAAAAGCTCGTGCCTGTAATATAATTGATCCAAATTAAATAAATAAATAACAATAATTAAATGAAAATTATTTATAAGCTCACTCTGTATCAAACTATATACACATTATTTAAATGAAGATGAAATCAAAGAAGAAAAACAAACCTTATAACTCCTATGTCTCCTGTCAGCTCTCGGCACTCTCCTGGTCTGTTCCTGCCTGCTGCTGGCTGTGGAGGACGTTCAGCTTTGACAACAAGGCGTCACCAAACGAGTTCCGATACTCGGGACTGTAGGCGTCCATCAAGGAGTAGATGGTCTCGAAGAACCTAGAACTGTGCTCCTCCTGGACTTTATCATACTGCTTCCCAACCACCTGGGGTAGTGGTATTACAAATATATATATTATAAGATTTAAATATGGAATGTGGAAATATTAAAATCTTAAAATGTCTCTTAAGAGATAAATATAGATGAATATGGACTGATTGATATTTTTGTTTTGTTTTTTCCATGACCACTTGAAATACAAAGGTAGGATACAATGTTACATACAGAATTGTATCAAATGAAGTAAGATAATTAAATGTGTACAAAAGGCATGAGACCTTTTCAAAGCATTTTTTTCCACCACTCTTTGTTTAATCAAAAAGATATGTGAATATCATAATACCATACCTAAAATTTGCTCAAAGAATATACTGAATTTGTAAAATCAGTATGATCACCAATTTTGATTTCTGAGTTTGTAGTTTTTGAGTCACTGTGACTCAGATTCTGGAGAGAGAATTTGTTTAATTTCACTAGTATGAAAAAAAACTAGAAACTAAGAACACAAACAGGTGTCCAGATTGAATTTTTTTCCAAGGATACATACCTTCATGAAGAAGAAATTTTCTTAAATTACCATGATATTTGCTATATGTCTACTATAGCTAATACACATTCCATGCTTTCAAAATTTTAAATAAATATTTTAAAAGATCTCACATCATATATGCCTTATTGATAAAGACCAGAGATGCCAAAGCTCCTGTTTTCCAGCACACACTCACCTTTTACTCTCACTACCAAAACTGCTCAGTAAGGAAATCCTCACATTTCCATTTCCTCTTATATTAATATTGATAACAGACTGCTACAGAGCTTATGAATCCCCAATCTGGCGTTTTTTTTTTTTTTTTTTTTTTTGCTATGAGGCACAATCACACCAGTTCGAAGCCAGAGACCAGAGGACCATAGATACAACAGAGATAAGTCAAACTAATAAGACAAAGAAAATTAAGCACCATAAGGCATTGGTCAGACTAACCATTGACATCATTCAGACTATTTCACTACAATATTTTCTCTAGAAAGACATCGTAAGCTGGACACACATTACCATATAACCTGGCCAGACATGCCTTTACAGTGACTTAGTGTAAGTGAAGGCATGGTAAATGTCTGTGTAGAACCATATACAACCAATGTTTGTACCAAAAATACATTTGATCTAGCCACTAGACACAACCCACATTTCCTGTTTGTGTCTGGAGGAAGAGGAATGATGGATGAAAATCAAATTAACCCAGGCCTAATGCTTCACATGGTATTTAAAGGGACTGTTAATACAGTGTACCACTAACCAACAGAGAGAAAAGGTTAATATAGACAAAAGGTTATCAATATGAAGGAAAAAAAGGTCTAAAACTAGAGGGCTCATCATATTACACTGTCTGACACACTCTGAGATGCAATCATGCATGTCAATAATCAATAAAACACCAAAGGGGTGATTAATATAATATCCATGCACAAATAACCTATAAACATCATTTTTATCATCAAAAAGCTCTAACAACAAACATAGAGAAAGTCGATGTTAATGTTTTGGTGAGCCTTTTTTCACCACAAAATGTTAACATGCCATGTAGCAAATGAAGAATTCCCATTAACGTTAACGAGACTCTGCAACATGTTTCAAACGCGAAACAGATGTCAATATTTATTTTTTCCCAATATTAATGTAAAACCACCACAGATGCATTTGTTGTGTATCTCTGCAACTCTTAGCTTAAATATCTGTTTTCGTTTGTGACTTAAGATGAAATTAATGTCACAATCATTTATAACAAGTAGAACGTGTAACACTAATGAAAGTGAATACTTACACGGAACCCTTGAACACTCAGCTCCACACACAATTTGTTCCCTTCCTTCGTTTCCACATTCATGTAGACGGTATAGTCGTTACATGGCAGTTGTGTTGATATTGCCACATGTTTCACGGCATATCTGACCTCTTTTACGGCTTCTTCCGCCTCAATCTTCAAAATTTTATCTTCAAATATATACGAGTCCCGCTCTCGGCCGGCCATGCTTGAGACTAATTTCCTTCACTGGCAGAAGAGCGACTGATTGTGTTTGTTGAGCAAAGACAGTTCGCAGTCGATCACAATCCATACTCACCGCTGTAATTTTATCAATTCTGTGCATTGGGTTCGATCATATTTTAAGTCTGGTGAAAACCTAGTGAGGGGGGGGGGTATTTTCTCTAAAAGAAAAAGAAAATAAAAAATGGCCCTTGAAAGATATTTCAGCCTCACTTGCCGTTGCATATTTGTTAATAAATTTCATTTCTTCTAAAAAATGCATTCACTTCTTTACACTCGCTGAATTGATAGGGCCTATTCATTTTTTTCTTTTGAAAATTAAAGCAAATAATACATTTGAAAAATGAGTTGTATTTTCAAAATAAATTTTAAACCTCCTGTTGTCATAACCACATCTTAATTAACGATTGAAAGGCTGAAGGTGTCAAATTGTGGGATTTTTTACACAGAGCAAAGCAATTTACAAAATAATTTTCATGAATTCTTCAACAATTTTCTAGTGCTCACAGATAACTACCCGTGAACTAATGTAACACATGTAAAACATAATGCAACTTCTGAGAGGTTAACATAGCTCTTAAGTAGGCAAGAACTTCCCGTTATATAACTAAAATAATTTCTCCAGATATAAAAAAAATGCATAAGCCTACGTATCTCTGACTTCGCAATCAGACGGTTTTGCACTTTATCTAATGAACGTAACTAGTTACAATAAAATAGGCATTTATCTCGTATACAACCCATTATAGAAAACGCTATAAATGACTGCCGATCCTCAATGGAGGAAATATGGCATGCAATTGCTATTGATCATATTGCGTGAGCACCCAATGTGGTGTCACAGTTCGTCTGCTAGAAAAGCACGAGTTTATCATTAATTCATCATTCTTGCTGGCGAATAATTTATCGATGCGTTTCAACCTAGGAATAGCACACATGATATATATGCAGAATCTGTTGGGCAAAAAAATATCCATATATCTGGTATATCATGAAATTCTATATCAAGTGTCCGTAATTCTATATCAAGTGTCCGTAATTCTATATCAAGTGTCCGTGATTCTATATCATGTGTCCGTAATTCTATATCATGTGTCCGTAATTCTATATCATGTGTCCGTGATTTGGAAAAAAGCTGACCATGATTTTCCGTCTACTCTAATAGGTAAAAAAGAGAAGAAGAAAAGACTGCAGTAAACAGTACTCTAGTGTTATCAACGTGTTGAAACTCCTTGATACAATGTTGTCATTTGCCTTCCCCCCTCCCCCTCTCTCTCTCTCTCTCGGACCATGCCCCCCCCCCCCCCAAGCCCTTCTATTTACAGAAACCTGGGCCGACCCTGAATGCATAAATTATGATGATTACTTAAGGAGGAAAAGGTCTATAGCTGTTTGAGACTTTAAAATTCATTTAAACAGACTGTCCCCGTATCGATGTATTCAGACCATGTTGTAATAACATTTTAAAGGCACAATACTGAATACTCTTCCGGGCAAATAATTCAAACTAATATTGACAATACACGGCTCCTTGTTGGCAGTTAAAAACACATTAGCGCTCCATATCAACGCTTTTTAAGTTTAAGTTGTGCCAACGTCATTTGATTTATTTATTTATTTAATTTTATAGGTAAAAAAGAAAGTCAATACCGCACATTATGTTTGGTTATATCAAATTTAGTTAGGAAAACTGGAAATTGGTACAGAAAAGTTGTCCGGTATCCAGGTCAATGACATTTTATAAAGTGGCATTTAATGATTTAACGTCATTCCTGCCACCTTATTGACACTATAATGTCATCTGTCATGACACCTTTCACCTGTGCTACAAATATTGGTAAGTTTAAAATTATTTTCCGGTTCGTATGTTTGCTCATAGCCTCAGAGAGTTTAGCCTCTCATGAAATATCTTCCTCTTCATTGTGATGTGTATAAGCATCAATTTTTTCTAAAAATTCCTTCACTTTATCTTGCACGTTTGCCACAACTGTTGGAAGTTTCTCTTCGTTTTTAATTTTTTCGCATTCAACCTTTAATTGCTCCATGGCGCGTTTCCTCGCAGATTTTGAATAAGCGGTATTCAGGGGGACAACTTCGTTGCTGCAGCCAAAGGGCGTTTCCATCGGAGTTGTTTCATTTCGTAATTTTTCGCGCCGCAGTAATAAAAAGTTATCGACTTTGTACCTTTCTTGTGGTTTAATGTAATTTTGCATCCATTTTGGTTTATTTGGTGGAGCTTTTGTTGACTGAGCATCAAAATCATCGTTCCCTGATTCGTCAGCTGCAACGGTATGAGGCCTTTCAATCGGTTCGTCTGCGCCGCTGATGGACGACAAACTTCTTTGAAATTTTCTTATAACACACGTTTTTGGGCGCAAAATTTCCATTTCTTTCTTTTTAAATTCTTCTCTTTCTTTTTCAGTGAACCCGCTGTATGTTGACCGCCTTCCGTGGTGACGAAATTGTGCGTTTCTTGAAGAAGCTGCTCTTATCGTCTGTGGTGGTAAACGTTTAGTCACCGCTTGCTTGACACTTTCGTCCGGCAAGTGTGACTTGTCCTCTTTTTCTTTATTTTCTGGAGATTGTTTCTTGTTTTCATTCTTAGAGGAAAGGAATATTTGTTCTTCAACAAATGTCGTTCTAGGGAAATTACTGATAATACCCGTGCGTTGTTCGGCTGATTTCGGAAATTGTAGTCTTGCTGCTTGCGGGAATAAAGGCTTTTTTAAGTGGGATGACATTTTCTGTGGCGACTCCGTCAAGGTATTGTGAACAGAACTACTGATGCGGCTTTCCTGTTCAGAGCTAACATTTTCCTGGGATGATTTTTTGTCGCTTTGGGATATATAATTATTAGCATTATTCACCACGGATGGTTTTGTCTGCTGATGCGATAATTGCTGTTTTTTCCCAGCTCTCTTAGCTGCCGCCGCGGCTGCCAGTCTTTCAAACTGAATACGATCCAGTTTCCCCACGCCCCCTCGTAACTGTAGCTGCTGGAAATATAACCACGGCCTCACATTGCTCTGGTAGTCTACCATGGCAGCAGAGTGTCTCCTGGGTCTGACGGCGTGGGGACTGAGCCCCGTTGTTTTAGTGGACTCGTGGAAAGAGTCACGCAGAGCAGAAGTTTGGCGGAGATGCTTGTATTCGAGTTCTAACTTTTTGTGATCCAAATTGTCTAATTTTCCACGGAGATGTTTCGTCTCGTACGAGTTCCTTACCTCTGCTCGAATTTCGTTTTCTGTTCTAGCTCTCATCTTTCAGCTCAAAACACACGGGTGTCTACTGAAAATACTCTTTCACTCATTGAGAAACCAAGATATCATTCTCATACATGTATTTGATCCATCTTTTGTAGTCACGTTATTTTCGGTAGCGACGATATTGATAAGAACCTATGTCACATGCTGCCGTTGTAGTATCAGTCATCGAGAAACCACAAAATCATTTTCATACTTATACCAGCGTTTGTAGTCAAGTTTTTTTCGGTAGCGACGATATTGACAGGGACCCATGTCACATGCTGCCGCTGTAGTAAAACCTCATCTGGGCGAGGTTAAACATCTCATTAAGAACATATTAACAGGTAATCTCGTTGCCTGGTTAGTTTGTGTGTCCCTCGTTAGTCTTCGTCTGGTCGCTTACCACGCCAGTCATTGGCCATGACAATGGTGCTTTCTTTCATGTTCAATCGGCAGTTTCCGGCTATACTGAACCAACCAATAAAAACCCCGGAACAGAACATTGAGCAAACCAGGCGCAACATTCACGTGTGTGTGGACGCAGGGAAAATGTACACAGTCACATACGCCGGTTTCCCGGGCTCGTGTTTTAGTGCCTATTCCTGACGGCACGTCCCTCTGTCACACAAACAACGTCGCTGTAGCAATTCGTCGTGAAGCAATCACTTATGAAGTTTGCCTACGGAAAATTCAATTTCCCCCGTTCATGTTTTGCGATGGGCTTAGAGGGGATTGCGTCAGGCTTTATCTGTTATATTGAGTTTTCACACTGTGTGTGACCGGCCAAGTCAGCACTGGCGTCCCCTTCGTACCAAAATTAAAAGGGTTTGATTTGTACCCACTTTTCCACAGTGGGTCCCATAAATTATAACTCTAGAGTACCACGATTACAAACTGCTTGTGTAATTTCTTTGTAGACTCAGGGCAATGTACACATAATTGTATGTCGAGCTGTCATCGCCAGTGAATTATTTTCAAATTTCAATTAGAGAACGTTTGTGCAAACAGTTGACCACCGCATGATAGATCTACGCCAAATACAATCCATTATTCATCGGATCAACATCAAATATTAATCAGTTGGTACAAGTCCGATTTTGAATTCTACCAACAAACGTCTACTGGCCGTGGGAAGGGAGGCTAAGCGGGATAATGCCTTCTTTTATTGCCACCCGTATCTACTTTAAACATATCGTTCAATTTGAAATTAATTCAATAATTTACAATCCTTTAGAAATCTTGGGGCTCTGAAAATCACAAGGTTGTAGGTACTTGCCGACCAAATTGATACTTTACTTCAAAAACATGTTTTTATCGAAGGGGGACTAACAAACCCTAATAAACTGCTCCGCGTTGCCCTCTTTACATAAACGATCCATAAGAAAATTGTATGCTAAAGCTTAGATCTAAAATAAATACCTTTAAATTGATTTTACTGTTCAAACAATCGATATTTACAAACGACGGCCTGGCCAGAAGTAGAGGACGCGAAAATCTTGACGAAATGAGATTTTTGATAAGATGGGATATAGTGTGGATAATACTGATAAAGAAGACGTCCAACTAAAAAGTGCGATAGTTTTTTAACCCCAATTTTTAGCTAAAATTTCTTTTCTCTTCTTTTATTTTACTTTTCTTTACTTTTTTATGCCGTCCACCAAAGTTGCACCCCCTCTAACTGAATTATCAGAAACCTTAAACCAATCCTCATCCAGTACCAAAGAAAATGTCCGATATAAATGTCCGTATAAAATAGGAAAAAAAACATCGTTTAAATGATGTAATCGGGCCCCAGGTTCAGCTGAACACCTTCACTACGAGCCCTGGCACTCGGTATGATGTTTAATCAGAGACACTGATACCGATAACTCCACTTCAGCAGTATTATCTATGGATTACCCATGTCAAATATTTCCTGATAGTTTTTTATCGCAGCTTTACGCACGTGAAAGTATTTAGTTCCCGTTTAGTTCTACGGCTTATTCGCTTGTAATGTACGAGTATTATCTGAAATATGTCGTTATTTATTCACTCACTAAGCCCTCTCGCTACAATAGTTTAAATATATTATCAAACGTCTGTGATCAAATCATCTTAAACCCCCTTTCTCTCTCTCTCTCTCTCTCTCTCTCAATTTTTCCTCGGCCTTGTTGAGATCGTGATTGTGACAACGGCGCACAAGCTCTCTGTTCACCAGTGCAATAGGGTTTGGAAATGCGTTAGTTGAGCAATAGTGGTCCAAGGCCTTTTGGTCTTTTATTGCTCACCTTAAACACGGAACTGGTCGGAACAATACGGTGGCTGAAGGAAATTCTCCCTAGTTTATCCATCAAGTTAAGCGAACTATGACCAGTTTTGCAGTCCAAATAGGTTTTCGTCTGAACGGACCTCAATTTTATCCATTGTAATGTACGTTGTTGATTATTTTAATAAAATCATGTTATAAAGCACATTATTTTGGAAAGATTAATTTCTTTAAATTGCTCAGCATGTGTTTGCTGGCTTGATCTTAAGGGTATTGGGACCCTTTATTATCACCCCTACCTAAAAATTAAAGAATTTAAAGAACAATCTATAGAACAACAAGTGCGGGAAAAAAACAAAAAATTAATTCTGTTACGAATGAAACCACAGATTTTCCCATCAAAAAAGAAAACAAGATGATGATATATGAAAAGAGATTGCCTTTATTTACAATAAATAATTATCTTAAAGCTTGAAACCTGTCAACATACTGTGTGTAATACTATGAGGATGCAACTTCCTCCACCTTATCCTGTAAATTTAACTTGCTTTCAAAATCTTTCACAGACCATTTGTTCAGCTTGGGGTTTTTGAAATTCTTTCAAATTTTCAACATAAACATGTATCTTTTCCTGAATATTCTTAAATTTCGATTTTTCATTCTGCACCTCTTGTTTGATGTTAAACTCCGGTTTGGGAGACTCCACCAGTCGTCGTCTTGTATTCCGGCGTAGTTCTTGTTTGAGCAAATATGCAGTTTTTATCGGATCGTGATAGGAAGGTCTTCGATTGTGTAAGGACCGCTTCATCGGATGAACGTCAGGTCTCGGTGAACTGGAACCCAGGGAGTTGCCCGTCTTGGAAGATGGTACGGCGGACTGACATCTGGCGGCCTCCGGATTTTTCTTGTTTGGGGGTTCTTTTCTCACGGCAAACGCAGATTGGCTTCTTGCCGGTCTGCCAGTGCCAGGATTTGAAAAAGCCACGCGTGCATTTTTTGGAGAAGGTGTTACAATAGGGGTACTGCTTGGGGTAGTCCTCCAACATTTTCCGCCCTTTGTGCTCGAAATCAAAGCCTCGCCAGATACTTCTGAACCATCCTCTGCCTCCGGTTTACTAAACAGTGTATTGAATTCGGCTATAAATGGGTCTATTTCATCATCGTCTTCGTTATTATCACTTTCACTGGATTGTTCCGGGGATAGCGACCGCGCACCCTCTCTGGCAACGCTAGATTTTGGTCGTTTTGGAGTTTTACTTCTGTTTTCTTTTGGCGACAACGGCGGCGCCGATTCCGTCCGACGCTTAGCAAGATCCGGTGCATAAAAATTTGGAAAAATCTTTGAAGCCTGATTTCTGACAAGTTTTGCTTCGAGTCGTAAACGTCTGGTATTCATGTTTTTCTCCTCTTGAAAGTGCCTGATAAGCTTACCAAATTTAGCATTTTCGCATTGATTAAGCACGTGCGCTTCACGCTCTCTGTCGCTCCAGAAAAATAGAGGTAAAGGCAACTTGAGGGAGTACATGTCTCGTTTATACGGTAAATTAAGATCTTTATCCTTTTCTGCCTGACGAAACGCCGCCTCTTCTTTGGGAGACGGTATAACAACCACTTCGTCATCGTTGTCTTTTAAGTCGCCGTCATACCACGTTCCCGCGTCGGGATGTTTTTTGGCTTTCGACGAATTATTTTGACCTTTCGACATGTCGTCTGCTGTCTTCTCGGGCACAGGGTAGCGCGGTGGCTTACATTCCTTCACCTACAGGAAAAAAGAGAGTGTCAACCAATGAGAAGATCAGTCATAGGATTTCCAATACTTTTTGATGGCATATAATACTCCATAGATACCATCCTTTGACTCATAATTATTCCTATACTTATCCCGTTATCAAGTATTACCACACTTTAAACACCAAGGTCTAATTATCTTCTGAGAGTCTCTGGTGTGCAGAAAACTAAAAGTACATATAAAGTGATAAAATCAAACGTGTTATATCTCAAGAACGACCTCCCAAGCAGACCCCGTCCCCCTTACCGCTACTCCATCCACGCCAGATTTGAACTGGTTATTTAGACTATTCTATTTTCTCCCTATTTCGTGTCGAGAAGTTTGCATTGCTTATGGCAGCTACTGAGCAAATATTGTGTCAACAATTGTCCGCGTTTTCACCTTTCACTTCCATACATTTTGTCGGTCCACATTGACTCAATTAAATATATGGTGCTTTATTGTCCATTAGCTTCGATTCATTGGGTTTGGGTGTTGTTGTACCTTCAACACATGTCAGGTGATTAATATTATAATAATCATAATGCATGTCACAGCGTTTGTGTGGTTTCACTCATAAAAGATTATAAAAAGTCCTTCCATTAGGTCCACGTGGGGGAGTTGTAGTTTATTTCAAGCGCGATACTTTAAGAAAAGTGAATCTGCGTTGAAAGTCGTTTAATCCGAACTGTACACAAAATCTTGATGATATACTTATGTAATGCCCCTTTAACGCAAACTGTTTGTTGAAAGAATGGTGAAGTAGATGATACTTGTGGTAGTTAATCTGTTACAATTCTCAAATATCGTAGTGCCTATGAATAGATAAGGTGCCCCTTGCGTGGAAATGTAAATGTATTAGTAAATATAACACAGTATTTATACTAGCTGTATTCATGATTGCGAATCCCCATTTAATTTCAGCATGCATGCTTTTAAAAGCTAAGATCTAAATGCACTTTTATTTGACCAGTAAAGGGGGACTATTTAGAGTATTTGGTTTAAGTCGGGAAAGAAAAAAATTAATACGTATATTTCTTTAAAGAAAGCATACACAAAGTGTGTTAACTCGAAGTTAAATACAGTAAATACTCCTTATTCAGGCTAACAACAGTAAAGCAGATTTAGATGCTTTTAAAAGAAAATAACCACAAAGAAAACTAAAAGCTTAAATTCCTACACCGACGACTCTTGACCCTTTGCCACACAATAAGTTTGTTTGAAAAAGTGATGGAGAGGTAGAGACTTACTGAGTAGTCCAAACTCGAAAGAAAAAAAAACGGGGGTGTCTCGATAATTCGAAGGTTCAGTAGTCCGAAGGTTCACTGGTCCGAAAAATGGTAACGTTTTCATCGGTTTTTTAATCAGGGGTTCATTGGTCCGAAGGTTCTATAGGATCAATGGACCTTCGAACTATCGCTACGGCCCCAAACCTGCGAATATTTTCGTATTTTCCTATTGCATCAGCTCCTATGTTAGTGGCATAACAGCGCGATAATGAATAAAATGGGTAAGCTATTATTGAAGAAAGATCACTATATTAGGTAAAGAAATGACCCTCTAGAAACTCACAGCGCTAACATAATTTTCTTGCAATCTCTTTAAATTACTCAGCGCTTTACTAAATTAATTAATGTGGTATCTCATATACGATATACGATAATCAATATCGAATATAATTTAAAGCTTTAAATTTTTTAATCTATAAATCAAAATTTAAGGCGTATTACATATATAACGCTTTGCCTTCAAGACCATGACTACAGAAGAAATCCCACTTACCAAGAAAAACATCTTTGCTGTTGTAATTTCTTCTGCAGAATGTCAAGATTCTATTTCTACTCTCGGTTTCTAGGTCCCAAGATTTCTCTATTGATTCTGGCTTATTGCACACAGTGATTTAACGTTACCGTGGTACTATTCCAATATAATATGCACATTGCCGATAAGTAGAATATGAAGTTCCTTCTAGGATGTATTAACGACCAATAAAAGCCGGTTATGACGATTTCCCTGAGTCTGTGTGTGCGATTTGGTGCAGCCTGCTGTTTTCTTCAATAACCATTTTAGAAAACTGCTGTAATTACATCAATTATCCCTTCAGTCCCATAATTTACTGACAGGTGCCAGGGTCTCTGATGACCAATGTCAGGTACCGTCCACTCAAATCTCGCCCCATCATTTCATGATTGCCAGTATTGGTCATGTCTACCGGGATGTTATTTTCAGACCGGTCAGCAGCTTCACCGTCTGGTTATAACATATGTCAAAAACTACGTTACTTAATGTTACAGGTAACCAGGCCGATCACTTCACTTGGTCTCACGACACCTTAGATACAGATGTTGACGCAATTCAACAACCCGTGGCCGCTTTGATCCAAAAATCAATCAGTATAATGAGCCATAATAGATCGAACGGTCTTTTTTAAGGTTAAAATAATCAATCCTGAGGTTATTTGTTCGGATTGATAGAGATCTATATTGTAATCGGCTGTGTGACGGTGATGGAAGCTTATACACCTGTATCTTTACCTGTGTAACAATCGTGTAATTCTTGTATTTCTCTTTTCAAAATACTACTAATAAAAGATTATCAAAGTGATATATTGACTTATGGCAGATCTGAATTAGATGATGAATTGGAGCAGGGTCATTTTTGTAGATTAAGTACATTAAATTCTAAAATATGCTCAATTTGCTGCTGTTGTGAGCAATATTTTGTTTTATGTAAGAAAATTGGACAACATGTGACGTGATATTTCTCTTTTAATTATTTTAGAGACAATATCTTTAAATAAAACGTTTCAGTAAAAACTATACCATAGAGCTTTGAACTTTCAGAAAGAACTGTTTAACTGATGGATGAAAATTTTAAATGTCATAATGGTGTATTAACCTCGAATTCAAAGTATAATTTCTAAGATATTTTTTGAAATATTTTATCTTATTGCCAGGGTCTAAATCCAAGTTCCTCTTTCCCTTTACCATTCTGTATTTTGCCAATTTTCATTTATTGATCAGCTTACACAGGTACATCTTTCAGGGATATAAATATATATTTAACCAGCTTTCCTCAGTTAATCAGTTTTTAAAGTCTGGGCAACTTTCTGTCCGGCATTTGGCCAAATAAAAAGATATGCCTATGCCAAACTTTCAAATCGACAGAATGAAATCTTCAGTTCCAGTGCCACCTTCTGACCCAAGTCACTTGAGCACTGATCAATAACCGGCGGTATTGGGTTTCCAATCACGGAATTAAATGACCAGAAGAGACCTCTCCAACATTTCTGACACCATATCATATGTATATTTATTGAATTTCTTAACCCAGGCGTGAAATCTGTGTAGACAAATGCACAAATAATGTATTTGTTTATGTTTTGTCCAATAAAAAATTTAGATATTAGTCCCTATGATATTGATAGTACAACATATACAATATAACATTTTATACACACACACACACACACACACATATACCCTATGCCTGAAGATGTCTGCAGATTGGTGTTTTCATGTAAATAAATTTTATGTAAATAAAAACATCCATGAAACCATCGGTTACAGTAACATCATGCGTTCGACTATATATATATATATATATATATATATATATATATATATATATATATATATATATATATATATATATATGTCACAAAGATGTTTGTAGAAATGATATCTAAATGGTTTTATCTTTTACACAGGTGAATCTCCCCCAGCAATATACATTTTTATAATGAATAAAGCCCTCCGCTCCCCCCCCCCCCCCGCCCATTAAAAAAAAGAAAAAAAATACAATGGTGACCTCCTTATAATTTTCTAATATCTATCTATTGATTGCCCCGATTCAAAAGACACATAAAACTGTTGCAATTTCTTTCAAGGGCCCCAAGGCATGCTATTCGTTCAAAAAGAGTAAAAAGTAGGAAAAAAGAGTTAATTTCCGTGAGACTTTATCAACAATGGCTTTACCTTAAGTCTCATGTCAATATATAATGTTATTTTCTTTGTTGAACAGGCCTTTCAATTACCTTCATTTACTGATAATCAAATACCTAACAAAAGCACATACCAAGCAACGTAGAATAATATTTGTTTCTCTAAAGCTAACACCGGCTGTTTGAAAACAAAAAACAAAGATATTTGAAGTAAAAACGTGTACGTGCTAGAATATTTGGTCTAAAAGCCCTAGAATGTATACTATGTTACAATTAAGTCAGAAAAAGTAACTGTTTCTTCGATCAATAAGGCAATGCAGCCGTATACACACGAATGTCACAAAGGATATCAGAATGGTTACAGACAAAACACGGAGCACAAGGAACAGGGATTTTTGGCAAAATGCTTGGTTATTCTTCGTGCAATCCTTGCAAGAACAAAGAACAGTAGCTGCCATTAGCTGGTACAATGATTCCACCTAGTGAATTTCCCACAGTTTTCGGCCCGGTTTGTCCAGCCCTAGCTTCTTCCGCACTTCTCGCGCAATTGAAGACATTTTGTATTTCTCCGCTAAAACTACTTGACAATTATTTCGTGATTGCTCCGTCTTGGCAATTATGTCCTTTGGCAGAGAATGGTCTTTGTTAAACGCTCTTTGTTGAGTCAAAAACCCTTTTACCTTTGAGTCTAGGGCTAGGTCAATTTTTGCTAATGAGAAGCTATCGTTTTGCTTTGAGAGGCGTACTTTCTTAGACGGGGATTTTGCGGGTTGTGGCGGCTCCTTTTCTTTATTGGTCGAGGTTCGGGATATCCTACCGACTGTTGGTAGAAGATAGGTGGTAGCAGCAGGAGAGTTTATTTCTTCTACTGCAGATATGGCCAAACCTTCGGGAGATTCTCTTTCGTCCTTTTTCGCTGCCCTGGGACATAATGTTGAATGTGATCGCGGTAGTGCTGTAGAGGCTCGTCTTTGACCCTCTGTTACACTGAATCCCTCACTATTAGATCTAGCAATACCCCTGGATGTCGGTCCACCGGATTTACAACGGTTAGGAATGTCATTTGCCCCGTCCAAGGCAAAGGAATGCTGTCTAGTCAAAGACGGCATGCTGGCCCTTCTTGTTAGTGCTCCGGGTAACGCCGCCGTGTGTCCACCCTCGGCCACTTCATGGTGGGACAGACCGAGCCTCTCTGACCGCTCGTGGGTCTTCTCAATGTCCCTCCTGTGAAACCTCTGGTAGCTGACCTCCTCCCGAGATGTCTGTTTTAACACCCGGTCCAACTGAGAAGTGGCGTTGCGGTTGAGAACGTAAGCCAAGAATTCGTGGTCGGTCGTGCAGGAGTAGGCGCCCTGCCCTAGAGAGAAGCTCTTCTGATGGACGCTTCTCTTGCAGTGAGCGGCAATGGGGAGGCGCTTCCGAATTTTGCTGAGTTCAGATGATTTAGGTTTTGGGTTCCGGGCTTTCATGTACCCCTTCTGGGTGCTTACCCACCCATTCATTTTTGGTGGTGTTTTCAATAAAATATTCCTTTAAAATCGTTTTTGAATATTAACGCAATACCGTGTGAGATATACTCCGTGGGTAAGTCAAGCTCATTCAGTGTTCACCATCTGTTTCATTGACATGACTTGAAACAGGCGTTCCTAACATCACAGTATTTTTGTCCCCTATGTAAAATCACTCTCAATTCTGAGACCGAAGAAAAATGACCGAAGAAAAAACCTCCGATGCGGGCATGGAGACACCCTGGGGACTCAGTAACACCCCCACGTCTTCTTGTCTTTGTGATCGCGCTACGACTGCTCACAGGCGGTTCTCAAGGTAATGGTTAATTAAGCCATAAACGAAGTATTACCGACTGGAAATCAATAGCCTCAATAGTCCATACGGCGTATAGTTAAAACTGTTACCAAGAAAGCAATGTGGTGTCATTGTTTGCTAAGTGAACATAATCGTTCAGTCAATTTCACAGGTTTAGTCCCCAGTCTATAGCCCCTCCTTGTCAGTGGCTTAGAATCAATACGGCTTTCTCTGAGTCATAAAACACTTTCCGGGTAATTTAACTTCCACGCACTGCCAGAGTTTCACGTGACGTCTTGTTTTCTTTACCAGAGTATTGTTTTTATATGATTAATCGATCTTTAAAAACACTTTCCCATTCAAAACTGCGTCTCGAGATTTCCTAGCGACAGTCCAACATTTGGCGTTGCCAGGACACACAACAAAAAGCCCCCGACTTAATTACCCAGAGTCAGAATAGATTATTTTGTCTCTCAAGTTCTCTGTTCTGGTCATGAAGTCCTTCAAGTGAATTCTGATAGGCGACTTAAGAGCGAAAACATCGCCCTAAAGGACATTTAACTGCGATCCAATAATGAGTTCTGTTATGTCATTTCTTTCTTTCTCTTTTTCAAACAGTAATCCAATTACGCGCTTATCCTGTTTGATGAAACAAAATGAAAGTGATAACTGTCCAAATACACGAAGATCTCCCGTTGACTGCCGCTGTGTCAAATTCCCTTTTATTGACCAGCCCAAGTGTGTGCTTTCCCAAGCTGAACAACCGCGTCTCGTTCACCGGACTCTGAGACACCAATAGGTGTGCCTTTTACTATCTGTATATAGGCACAAAAATGGACAAAAATCATCTGCCCAAATCCCTCCTGCTGTGAAAGTCCCGACACTTGTCATGTTTTAATAGCTCAATGATGCACTCAATGCAACAAATTATGTGACACTTGAGACGTTTAGTTAGTGATGGGCTTTGCTTGACAAGAATCTGAATAACAACGTAATATGTTTGTTTGTTAAATATCGACTTAGTGCACACACAAAGAGCGTGCTTGTTCTCTCTTCAGCAAATTTTATAAGACCTACTGTTAAATCCTGTTCGGCAGGTTAAGTTTATTGGTGTATTAAGTGACATGAGATTGGGTTTCTTGGGGGTATAATATATCCGTTTACCCGTTCATTTGATCTGTACTGCTAAATGCAAACAATCCCTCGGCTACAACTCGGGGTACAGTTGTGAAGAGTGTGAAGGCGTATTTTTATCCTCAATATCTCACTGATGTCCTACACGTATCAAGTTCCGTATGAAAACAAACGCTGTTGTTATGTTTCTGTCACAGAAATCTGTGTCCGGCAGAGTCCGTGA